TTCCAACGGCGTAATACTGAACAGTCCGCACTAAAAAGTTTGATTCTGTTCTTACTATGTGCAACGGGATTCGTGGTTTTGTAGTTTCCTTTTTATGTCCGTATCACCTTGTCTTGATCTGACCTGAAAGTAAACCACACTTTGACCTGAGCGTCATGCGTCCAGTTCTACACACTTCGTCATCTTGTGGAGATCACTTTTCTTGAGGTGTTATCCTCATTCGGATTAGTTGGAAACATTCAAAAAAGAAGCCCGGGCTCAATATTGGTTTATGGCTGACGAGACATTGTTACCGATCAACATGGACGAAGTGAAACCCCACAACGGACCGAAAACAACTTTTCCCTACTTTCCATTCAATCGGCGGTTGCCTGCGTACACTGGAGCAAGTCTTGCGAATGATGAATGTTTGAGCTAATACAGCAAGGCGACCGTCATGGTGAACCACAAGTATTTGCGGCCGGCAGGCGACATCTCTGATTAGTCTACGGAAGACGGTCCGCTCATCAACGACCAAGCTTTTTGACTTTTTAGTGCGATCGTACGTGTACACAGTTGTACAACATGGATGCGTATCTGACGGATTGCAAAGTGCTTCCTCGAACTTCTGTCCATACTTAACTATGCGTTATATATGCCTACTCCCCACTGTAACTCTCGCAGCTTTGACTAGAATTCCATGAAGAAACGCTGATTACGACCTGAAAAGTATCCGAACATCTGCCTTGTTACATTGCGCTTATCTGGCGAGGTATCTTGTGGTTCTGCAAGGATCTTAAATGAAGCTAAAAGCTTACTTGACAACATTCATTGTTCTTGGCTTCCGCACAACGGACGTCGGTGTTGCCAAGTTCACGGTAGCTCGACTGACGGATAATCAAAATGCAGCACTACGACCAATAAGGGTAGCCGACTTGACAAAGAGTAAAACCATCCAGTAGTCAGCAAGAACAAAAAAATCTGGACCTTGTAGTAGTTTTTCAACAGCGCTTTCTGAACGAAATACTTGCATTTGATGGGGATCTGCGTGAAAAATCACATACAAGAAAGACAAACGGGTCGACTGCGCAACAGGCAATAGTTGATTGCAGGTACCTCCGAAATTACTTCATCTATACTTGATCATTTTGCTGTGGTTCTCTTGAAAGATTCGATTTTTGCTGTTTTGCTCGTAGCTCAGCACACTACTGACCATTCATAAGCACTCAAATCGATGTTTCGTTAATTTGCAGCACACAAGAAATTTTATCGCCTTACACACTACTGTGCTTGAACTTTGCAGACTGAATCTGGTATGTATGAACCCCTCTCCTGGCATCGTATTGGTTTACGACCAACTGTGGTCAAATATGATCGGAGTTTCATCGATTCATACTGTGCAAATCGGCCAAGTTAGCAGAACTACACTTTATATACGGAACTTACTACTTCAGTGAGCCAAACAAATGGTAATTAGTCAGCGGAATCGCAGTGGAATTTGGTGTGATTATTGCTATGCAGACTACTCTAAACATATACTACTTAAACAATCTCAGCAACACGTAATATGACAGGTCTTCAAAAAAAGAAAGCTGACGAAGGAAACCGTAGAGAAATTTAATTTTTAGGGAAACTGGCTGAAGATGCGGCTTGCTCGCCTAGTTTTTCGGGCACTTTTAGGCCGTCATCGTGTGGCGCGGTTACAATTCGCTTTGGTCAAAGATAACTAAACTCACTAGTTGGCAACTATCATCCACCACTGGGAAATGCATCATCAAGACCTTTCGCCACCGAAACTAGCTGAGAATAAAGGTAAACAACGCAGCAGTCTCACGCGCTGGGTGTCATAATCCTGGAAATTGGTCAGGAAAATGCCTTGATTGGCTCCTGAATTTTCTTATTTCATCAAACGAAATCAATACGTTCTCATTAGTATACTAACAGTTTTCATGTGGCTCACTGCACTGGCTGTTCGCACTTGGTCACTCGAAACTGGTTCACCAGTAGATTGTGCCAGGCACCCGTCTCAGGCTTGTATGCAGAGTCCCGAAAGTGTTATCGACTAAAACAAATGAAGTCTTCTGAGAGGATAAGCTTGGATTAGGTACACTCGGACTATTGATCGGTAGGCTTTGAATGGGATTCTGAAAGTTACTGGCTGATCGTGTTGTCTCGTGGCTTGTCGCAGACTCCGCATCGTCTTCGGACATGTTGTGGTTCGTTGGCGGAATAACCCGTACTCATCAGTGAAAGCTGACTGGTTTTAGGTTGATAAGAAACCGTGAAATGCTTCGCTTGATTTCTACACTTGTGGGTACAACTTCAACGCCATGTACTAGGTTGAAGAC